AAATGGCTAAAAAATATAATTTTTACATTATTATCAGATTAAGTTTAACCACATGTTAACTAGAAAACGAAAAATTAGGCCATAAAATGGTACCAATTATCGATATTATAAAACAATTATAGGTAGAAGTTCTTCAAGTAAGGTAATAGAACGAATGTAATTTACAAAAAAATTAAAAAGGGATAAAAAATTGCAGTTATGTACAATAAGAGGAAAGAAATGGAACATCACTAACTAATATATTTGTCGGATACTTATATATTACCAAAAGTACAAGTAAAATTACAAAAAAATCACATTAAATGTCTCCAAACTAGATTAAAGCTACAAAATTAATACCAACATATTTTTCGAAGTTAAGTGAAGTGTGCAATAAAAGTTACTCACTCAATTAAGAGCTACTTGTACATTCGAGGCCTCCAAGTTAAACTAGTCACAGAATTAATATCAACACACTTCTAAAAATTACGTAAAATGTACACCTCTATAAAACTGTCTACTTGCTACCTGTAAAACAAAGGAGAAACATGGAGTTTTTACAACAACACAGTAAATACTAATGACCAGTGACCATGTTATAACGTCTAAGCAGACTGTGAAGAAGTAATTTTAGCGGTCACCTCCAAAATACATCACAAATTACATCATGATATTCTACAATCTCTCACCTATTCTATAACGCTTCCTTTTCTATATTATAAATTCTAAGATCTGTACTTTGAAAGTTGTCTCATTTTAAATTGCAAAAGCAATGATTAGAGATTGGAGAAAATAAAAATATTATAACAATTAATTTCTTACATATGATTTAAATAAATTATCTACATTTTTAACGAGAGAGAGAGAGAGAGAGAGAGAGACTATTGAAACAAATATATAGGGCATAAATATCACGGAACTATGTTGCAAACGGAACTATTTCCGATAAGCAATAACGAGTACGATAGTCACGGAGGTCGGATAATAAATATTTGAGTATTTATACGATGTCCACTACAGCGGGCCGTCGATTGCAGCGATTTCGCGGTAATCTAAACTGTAGCGTAGTGAGCACGGGGTAGTGAGATGAATATTAACGTGACCCAGGTGGATTTAGATGAAAAATAGAGGTAGAAAGTGCGAGTCAAAGAGCATGGCCCCGAAATAATGTCCGCGTCGCCGCATATTATACGCTGCTGTATACCAACACGCGGTTTGTATGATAATTCTGGCAAAGTTCGATTAAATCCAGTAATGATCTTGTATGCGCAGATCAATTCCTCCTGTCGCACAAATTGTACAGCCGCACAATCACATTTTTTCATTCCATGCGTAAAGAAATTCCATTAAAAAAAATGCTGCGATAATTAGTCGAACATATTCTGTAAATATCGTCAATCAGATATATATATATACTTTTTTTTATACTCTCCCACCGTCATTCGATGTCGATCTGCCGAATTACCGGACGTACCGGCTGTCACGCCATTACCGGTATTATCGGTGCTAACAATCGGAAATGCTCGGCTCTACGAGCAAGCGGTTGTTGCACCCCGGTCGGGAAACGGCTCGTCGCGGCCAAATGAATTTCGTGGTAATATTGTTTCCGCGTCCTCCCCCCTCTCTCTCTCTTTCTCTCTCTCTCTTTCTCTCCGAACACAATTCAGCGACGGCGCCTGTTCCTCCTTTTGTCCCGTAAAACGAAAACGGGAAAGTGTTTACGTTCGATTAGCCCCGTTAAAACGCCCCATGCCTAAATCGCTCCCCTGATTTAAACTATGTTCCGCGTTAACCACCGCTCACGCTAATTACTTCGCGTTTACAGAAATAGTTTTGGGAAGACATATTGAATAATTTATATCCCAGGTACGCGCAAGGAACATGTGCACGCCTTTGTATTATTAATGTTAATTTGTTTTTAACACTTCCACGCTAGCACGCGGCACGCCTCGTTTTGCGTAATGGATCGATGTTATGCATATGCAACGCGCGATACCAAAAGTTAAAATTTATATCAGACTATTTTAGAAATAAATTACGTAAGCGGTGAATAATTTTTTATATTGCGTTAGAGATATAAATTCTGAGAGAGAAGATAATTCTCTGTTTGTGATCGTGACTTTTTTAAATGATAGTAAAAAAAAACACACTTAATAAAAGATATTATTCCAACGCAAGCGATTAATTCTCGAGTATATCTCGATATTAATTCAAATAAATAAAAAAATTTATACTCGAATAAAAGTTTTTTATAAAGGTTATTCGAATAATTCTTAATCTTTTGGTGCTACTCTTAGTGGCATATCCGAGGTTTGTTTTACTTTACTACATGGAAAGAAAGAACAAGAATTTTGTTAAAGTATTTAAAAATTTAGATTGATATAAAAAATAATTTTGTTGAACCATCAAAATAATTTGTATAAACAATTTAAGTATGAAGAATATTCTGCAAAAAGTCTTGATATTCTAACAATCAATTTGATTATCCTGCATAATTACTTTTATAAGCCAATAAAATTATTTCCAAATCTGTATCTATCTAAACTTTTAAATACTTCAGCAAAATCGTTTTTTTCTATATATCTAAAAATTTAGCTAAATATAAATTTTTAAAGTAATTTTGTTGGATCATCAAAATAATTATATACAACATTTTTAAGCGTTTATGATAATGCTGCAAAAAGTTTTAACATGTATTGGGAAAAAACTACTTAATTTATTTGTGGACGATACAATGCTTATTTCACTGAAATAAATTCTTATTTAAATATGGCGAAATGGAAATATATTTCTAGCAAATAAATCATCGCGATTTTATTTTTTTTTACAATAATAAGAGAAATGTAATATATTTCACAGAAATATATATTCTGTCATCACAGTCAAATTTTTTATTATAAAAAAAATGTCGAAAAAAATGTCACAAGTAACATTTTGAATATGTTGATTTCTTCTTTCAGTGTTCTAAGAACCAACTTGAGCATCCTACATAATTATTTTGATGAAACAAAATTATTTTTTTAGATCTATCTCTAATAAAAATTTTTAGATACTTCAGTAAAACCTTTCTTTCCTATGTAAGTATGTTACAATTATGTACGTTACGTTTTTTTCTTTATTAAAATTATTTATATTGATGTCTGGCGTTTAAAATGAAAAATATTTATTAATAGGTTTATTTTTATGCAATATTTTTCACAATACCCAATATAATAAATACGATATAATACGATATAGTAACCCCTAATTCAATTAAATTCTAAGTATTATATATCTATGCCTTAGTTTTTGCACACAGTATTTGTGTACACGAAATCATGCTAAAAGATCAAGATATACAAAGAAAAAGTCAACCTAACAATCACTTACATTTATGTTCTCGTCGTCACACATTTATATCCTCAGGAAAGAGCCTCTCGCATTAACCGATATTTTCTGCGTGCAGGTCGTGCAGGCGGCCCTGGACAAGGCTATGCAGGGCAGAACGTGTATCACCATAGCCCACCGTCTGGCCACTATAAGGAACGCCGACGTGATCTGCGTGCTCGATCGGGGTACCGTGGCCGAGATGGGCACCCACGACGACCTGATGGCGTCCGGTGGTCTTTATGCTCACTTGCACACTCTTCAGCAAACCTCTACCCAGCAGTAAAAGAGCGACTAATCGTCGGATTCCTATGCCTTTTTCTTCTTCGTGCGCGATTCGACCGGTGCATCGAGCGTCTTGGAAGCGTGAGGATCGACGGTTGAGCGTGTGAAAAGTAGAGAAAAGCCAAACTGTCCAAACACCGCATAAAGACCGCAAAGCGGAACTCAAGTAGCAATTGTCACCGCCGAAAGGCCACGAGATGTCAAAGATGCCCAAACGATGGCCGTTCAAAGGAACAGATTCGCTAGGACAGAAGATAGGTTCCTAGA